AAAAATAAACCATGCTGTTAACTAAAACATAGGAGATAACTGAAATTATTGAATAGATTGCCATTAGAAGACCAAAAATAATGATGAAGTAATGCTATAGAAATTGTTAATCACAATCATAAGGTGATCGAGATGGGGAACTTATTCCAAACATAGCCCACAACATGCCACATGAGTGCATAATTTGCAAGTCGTTTGGAGAAGCTTCCCTTTTTAAAAAGTGGAAAAAATGTACAATGCCCAATATCTTATTGATATACCAGTGTAGAGGTATCGGATTCATGTGAGATATTGGTACAAAAACAAGCACCAAGATCCATACTTACTACCTGTTTTATAAGAGGAGCCGTTTCATGTTTGATTCTTTTTCATTTTTTATAACAATATTAAGGAATTTGCATTATTTTTAACATAAACCTTCAACATTCAGGTGTCACCTTACTTTCAAACAATATTTACTACAAATTACAAATTACAAATTTCACATGCATTTAAAATATATCACTTAATCTTCAGCTCCATATCTTCTACATTTTTTTTTATTGTTTTAACTTTGCCTTCAAAAAAAAACTATAACAAACAAAACTACATCATCTACAAATAAGGCCGTAACATTCATGTAATGTCTTTCAAAAACATTTTCATAAGCAATGATAAGAAAATAAAATTTTATACAAAATCTTTGATGTTATCCAGATTTAATTAGAATATCTTTAACAATCCATAATTATTTCAAAGAATAGCCACTTTTCAGAAAGATTTTTATCATTAATACCAACCATAGCAATTGTAACGACACTCAATCTTACGCATTTTAAAAATCAATAAAACTAAACAAATGGCAACAAGCATGATATAAGTATCATTGGCATGGAAATCATCAAGGGTTCCCTCAGTATTAATTGCACAAAACCAAAAAGCCTTTAAACTTCTACGATCCCCAATGTATACCATGAGTTCATGATAATTCAGGCCCAATAGCAGTAATCTTTGTTTTGAATTCAACTTTGAGGAACCCTAACCATGATAATCTAAAGACACAAAAAGTTCACTTGTGTGATCTCATTAATTTAACATTTTTTTCCTAAATCAGGAACCATAAAAAAGGACATCCCGGCATCAAACTAACTCAATTGTTTGCTTAAACACACACACACACAAATATATATATGCTCTCGGCTTGAAAGATGCAATCCAAAAATAAAAAAATAAAAACCTTGCAGGGCCAGTTCTCTCGGTAGAAATGGCATACGACGCGTTCGCTGGCCTTCACGGCCGCAAAGAAATCTTTCTCGGGGATCTCTGAGTACTCCCCGTGACCTAGAGACGTCCACCGATTTCTGTTCTCCGCCAACTTCTTCATCTGCTGTAGCCGTCGCTCCCGCAAAACCTCGATATCGTCAAGGTCCAGCCGATCCAATGCCGTAATCTCGTCATCGAGCTTATCCTCCACAGCCCGCGCTACCGTGAGCACCTGTTTCTCCAGAATCTGCTGCCGCGTTGGATAATTGAACGATATGTAAGAAAGAAAAAGAATAAACATGGCAAATTGGAATGTAAATATTGGTATCAAGGCTTGCCTCCTTGATCTGAGCGTCGTCCATGGCGCGATCTCGACACCTTTGAACCCCAATGAACGAGGAGATTTTATGCTGGCAGCCACTGCCAGCGCTGGCGCGGTGCTGGTTGTTGGGTTGAGGATTATTGAGAAGAGAGAGGTTTGGAACGCAACATTTGGTAAGGAGGCTAATGCATTAATATCAAAAAATATTTGGGGTGAATTTTGAAAATG